GGAGATACGTGCAATTTCCCCGTCCATACTTCCCGCGAAAGATAAAAGCTGGCGCGTACAGTGGTGCCATCTCTTTGGAGAAAATAGCACTGTTTGGATAGTATCGGATAGTATCGTCGACGGGATTACAACACTGATCTCTATAATATAATCTGGATAAGGCATGGCTACGTGTCAGTGACGCAACACGTCCGCCATGCCGCTACTCCCAAAAGTATAGGGATCCGATCTAGCTGCGAGCGACTACTAACATAGACTGGTCCGCGCTCGACAGTTCCACTCGCGTTAAGTGAGCGCGCCGCGCGGGTCAGTGGAACGCGAGTGGGACTGTCGAGCGCGGACCAGTCTATGTTAGTAGTCGCTCGCAGCTAGATCGGATCCCTATACATTTGGGAGTAGCGGCATGGCGAACGTGTTGCGTCACTGACACGTAGCCATGCCCTATCCAGATTATATTATAGAGATCAGTGTTGTAATCCCGTCGACGATACTATCCGATACTATCCAAACAGTGCTATTTTCTCCAAAGAGATGGCACCACTGTACGCGCCAGCTTTTATCTTTCGCGGGAAGTATGGACGGGGAAATTGCACGTATCTCCATCGGAAATGTGAAACAAGAACAACCAGCAGTAACTCACTTGATGCCCTGCAAAATTGACCACGATGGGAAATGCAATGTAGCAGCTTATTTCACACATACGATTAATCATAATGAAGGTAGGCTTGATAATAATATTGATATCATATCAGGAGTGAATAAATACAAATGGTATAACTAGTAGACTTAGTATAGCTCTAGTACTATAGCCGGCTTACATTAACTGCCGCTGGCCTTATACATAAATGTTCACTTGTTCGAATTATAACTCTGTCCTTTGTTCTTACCTACTCCCGGCAGAGATATCTCGCGAAATCCTGCAGGAAATGTTCTCTCCGTGAAAATGTAAAGAGGACGTTATCATCCGAAAATCCCTAACGGCACTACTTTCGATCGATCGCTGTAGTCGTGTGTGCGTGACGTCATGCCCGCGCGCATTGTGCTTGGCTTGGCGGGCCTCGAAATGGAGCTCGGAGGCCGGCAGCAGCTCATCCCGGCATGCAATGCGCCCCATTACTCGTGTATAAACAGACATCTCGTCCTCTTTACATTTTCACGGAGAGAACATTTCCTGCAGGATTTCGCGAGATATCTCTGGCGGGAGTAGGTAAGAACAAAGACCAGAGTTATAATTCGAACAAGTGAACATTTATGTACACATAGATACCAAGATGGAAGCTGTACTTGTAGGAGGTGTATTCGTGACGGTTTGAAATGAAGCGAGCGTCGAGCGAATTTTTCAATCCCGCTTTCCTACCTGCTCTCTTATTCATGTTGTTTGTGCATGCAGCACAGCGCGGGCGGGCGTTCGGTGTACTTGTGTGTTGCAGATGAGCATTTGACCGGCATTTACAGGTGATCATAGGCGAAATACAGTAGAGAAACATTAAGACTTTGGTACATTTCGTGTTTATTTACCATTATTTTTTTTATTGAGACGTTCCAAGTGCCTGTGCTGTACCAGAACTACGATAGTGCTGACGATGTTCCACTGATACGCCCGAAACGCCGATAGACTGTGTAGCGCCATCTGGCGGTGGCGTTTGCAAGTTAATTTACGACGCTAAACCTGATGTTTACCCTACAGGTGAGGGGTGGAATCAGGTAAATCAGGTTAACCAACTCTGGAGTGGGTGCGAAAACGACACGGGTCGTTTTCTTACCGAGAAAACCACAGGCACTAGGAGCGTTTCAATAAAATATAATGCTAAATAAATACGAAATCTACTTACTATCACACAAAGACTGACGAAATTCTCGTGTTCGCTCCCGTTGCGCAGTTTATGTAAATGGCTGCAAGTACAGGGCTATAGGCGGCTCACTGCATTTTGGGAAACTACCATGCTGTTTTCCAACTCCCGTGTGAGCCTCGTCAAAGCCGCCAGTGGAGCGTTGCAAAAAAATTGCGGCGTACACAGCTCGGTTACGAACACAGACAGTATGTTTTTATAACAAGTGAACACTGTTCTTAAAATAGAAACAAAGATGGAGTAGAATGGTTGAATATTTGTGTTGTATTCGTGTGAAATCAAGTGAGCGTCGAGCGAATTTTGGCAACACGCTTTCCTACCTGCTATATATTTATGTGTCAATGTGCAGCGGCAGCAATGGCGGCAGCCAGCGTTTGTTGTAGATGAGCATTTGGACGGCATTTACAGGAAATTGTCGGCAATAATAGGTGAAAGAGAGTATAGAAACATTAAGCAAGGCTCGACACTAGCGGTGGCCCGGTGTGTTTTCAAAATATATTCGAACAATAGCTTGTACTTAATTCACCGATATTAATGTCATACACATATTCTCAACGCCACCCAACCGCATAAATACATGTACGGAAGAATAAAACGCTTTCTCATCCAGCAGTAGATCTAGACTTGTCTCTTGTTGTGCAGAATATGTCCGTTTATACAATAAACAAAGTCATGGGATCCGTCTTTGTGTTAAATGCCAATATACAGCGGAGGGTGGTGTCAGAATTACTGTGTTCCGCCACTTGCTGCAGAGACTATTCTCTGTTACTTCTTAAGTAGAAACTGGTGAACCGCAAACGATCAAGTAGCCAGTCTATTCCAAAAATCATACGAAGCCGGATCACACAGATCACGGCTAGTGGAAGCAAAGTCAGTTTCCTAGCTAAGAACTCTGTGTATAATTATAGTTTTAAACACGGAAAGTAAAGCACAAATAGGCGGCGAAGTACAGTTATTTTGGAGGCGAATGTGTGCCTGCCCGTCGGGCGTGGAACTTTTAATTTTGGTCGGCCCAGCGCCCAAAGTTGCGGCCT